TATCCCCCTCATCTAGAATGGGTTAACCCTTGAACAAAATATGTTGGGGGCTAAGAGAAGTCCGATGGAAGGAAGGGGAGAGGGCTTATTCAAAGCCCTAGAGTTTCTCGGGGAATGGCTTTCCATCCCAACACAGGTCATGGTTCAGTTTAAGAGATGGAGTATAACTGGGTCCTAGTCACGAATCCAGGTGCGTGGATATCTGGGATATTTTGAGAATATTATCTCTTGATCCTGTACAATCCATCAAGAAATTATCGATTCCATAATTTCCGACATGTTAAAAGAACCACAAAATTTGGAATATTTGGAAAGATATGAACAAACAAACATGATGAAAATATTAGCTCAGCCAGTATGTCTACATCTCCATCAACTTGGTGGCACAGGTTCCAGTCTTAGTGAGCTCTAATATGTTGAGTATATCTCTTGTTGTGTCTGAGCTATCTGCCCTTTGTAATGAGTCCAAATCAAGGCTAGAAAAAAAAAGTATAATTCCTTTTATTTTAACCTACAGAAGAAAAACCATTGATTAAAATAATAGGAAACATATTGAATCCCCATGCTTCTATTCAGAATTAGAAAGGAATACTGCAGATATTTATGATTAATGAAGCGTTAAGTATCTCCTGAAACCTTAAAGCTGATTTTTGGTAGAGCCCCCATCACATGAGGTATTAAAAGTCTGAGTAAAAAACATTCTGAGCTCAATGATCAATGCTTACTTGGTGAGTTGACAAGAAGAATATATCTGGGTCATCATAGAAGGCATCATTCGTGCCATTCCCATGGTGAACATCAAAATCAATAATAAATACTCGTTTTAATCCATGTACTCGTTGAGCATGGCGGGCTGCAATAGCCACATTCCCAAAAACACAGAACCCCATAGGCCCCTTTGGAACAGCATGATGTCCTGGAGGTCTGATCAAAGCAAAACCAGTGGGTGGATCTGGGACTTCCATAGATGCAGAGACCTGAAATATTGACAGATGATTGTGTCATGCTACCATAAACAAGAAATAGAAAGAAGCACAATCTGAAATTGAGATCAAACAAATCAACAATCCACTTTGAAGATGGATTTTAACCATTAGACAATAACCAAAATTTATAAGGTCAAAAAAGATATTTCGATTAGACAAGAAAGGGAAAAGGAACACAATAAAGAGACTAACGTGCTAGGTTGAAACATCACCACTGAATCAACTAAGGTGATTCCAGCTCCAGCTGCAGTAAGTGAATCTTGGAATGTCTGCCATCAAACCAACACAAAAAGTAAAATAAACAACATATTTTCACCACATTGAAGCAACAAAAGTCAATATTTTCTATACGCAGTTAATCTATCAGGTGCTAATTTTTCTCAAAAGAAAATTATAAAGTTCCAATAAGAAGAAAAAAAAACTGATGTTGCAAAATGATAGTTAAAGAATAATTGTTGGGGTGGGGGGTGGGGGGGGTTTAGAGAGGCACATAAGAGAGAGCATGAGATAGAGTGTGCGTAAACAACAGTAATTCCAGGGAACTGAATCACATTTGCTGTTTTTTTTTGGGGGCTGAGCCCAAAGGGATTCATGAAGCTTGAATCTTCACCCTCTTAATAAAGAGCAGAGGAGATAACCACTGAGCCACAGCTCAACCAAAGTATTTTATTTGTTTCTTTGTAAGTTTCTTTTCAGTAATTGTTTCTTTCGGTTTTGCATCAAGCAAAACTGAAGGCCAACCAGGACCAGGAGATAATCCTCTCTCTTATTCACCTTTCCTACTAATAACTAAAAGTAAATAATATGAAATACAATGATATTTGTTTCTTTGCTCTGATAGGCTAAATCTCGTTATGAACTGAAGCAAGTAATAAGAGGATGTGACTTTCTTGTGGTGCAGAGAAAGTCAATATAGCAGTTAAGTCCTTTTTGAGAAATTAAGTTGAGTCCAACTTATTAAATCTAAAAAAGAATTGCTTCGGCAAAAGTATCTGCACGTTAAACAATGAAATGAGACAGTACATGATATAGACTTACTGTCATAGTAGCATATGTAGGTCCAGAGCCATCAATAAAAATAATTCCCTGATCCGATGCCTGATCCATAGCCTATAACCAAAATACAGGAAAAACAAAGAGCTTGAGATTTACCAAAATTGATAACTTAAACCGCCCTAACATTTTTTTTAAATATTAAACCTCTTTACTAATTAAACCATGTGAATTAAAATGTAAAACAAACTAAACCCTCTGCTCAATCATATTCTAAGCAGCCACCGGCAGGAATCATGCAGGAGGTAAAAGATAACGTGCATGGCCTTAGTGGTTCTGAATTCGTTGGTCATGGGAGTTACACCAGAAAGTTTCAATTTCTCACTCCTCAATTTTCCCTCCCAAATGAAAGGTTGACGACGAGGTTG